GAAGAAAGTCCAGTTGCTTTTTGAAAAGAATCTTTATGTTTTACTACTAAGAGGAATCCCAGCCACCAAGAACCATTGAAAAATTGCTCCTTCCCATGAAGAAGTTTAGAAGACAATCAAATTCATTTCTTTGCCTATGGATTTGGTAGAGGTGGGGACCGGTGCTTTGAAACAGCACTGGTCCCCTCTTCCACATTATCTTGAATTTATATATTAATTGGCTATATGAATCCACTGAACCCACTGAAAAGTTGAGATCTGTATGGCATTTCTAATAGCACTTATTTACCTCATTTACCCCTTCCTCTGTGGCATTATGTGACAGCTATGCATTTGTTAGTATATTCTTAGAGAACTTGAGTTGACTGTGGACTCTGAGGTTATTACCTACTTAGGATTTACCTCCTGGCTGGCCTAATTGCATATCATATTTAAATTGGCCATATTCAACATATTAATATTTTATCTATTTTTCCTCTAATTGCACAGTAGGAAATATATTCCAAAACTATTGATACCCAAGCTCACCATTGACTTCTAACATAGATTCAGACAGAGAGTTCTAGTTTTGTCTTGCTAATAGCACAGTGAAGTACAGAAAGCAGAAATGATTAAAATAATGGTGAGTACTCATCCTATTTCATTATATAATTTTAAGCGAAAAAAAGAACCAAATTAAATTGAGCTTTCATGAGGTCATTCAGTTGATGCCTCATCCTGAAATGATCAGCAGACTTCCACAACTTACAGAAACTTATGGAGTTGTAGAAATAAGTCCCTTTTATTTGCTTAGGGTTTAATATAAGGAATGATGCTAGCCTTTGTGGAATGTAGACCACTGATGGCAACTGGTTTGTTTGACAGGTGAATTGTTCTTTCCTCTCTCTTTTTCCTGTTCTCTTTCCCCAAGAGAAAAGCTCAATTTGACTCCATATTATTTGTTTAAATAAAATGCAAAAAATACACTTAGTTAATAGGATTCCCCTCTTGTTCCTCTTTAAATAATTTCTATTCTCCATATAGAAAATTATAATTTGGTATTAATTTTTGGAACTATACCCAAACTTTTGGAACCTACACAAGTCATAGTCCTTTGCTTATACAGTTCTGCAACAAATCACAGTGTTGTTGGTTTGGTTTTAAAAATTATTATTTATTCTTTATTTAATGAGACTGCCTAATTTATAAATTGATTCTGGGAATCATATGTATAACTTTTTAATAGAAGCAAGTGTAGATCACATTCTCCCAAACTGGTAAGTTGCACTAGTTTCAGATAATCAGAGTTGGAAGGGACCTTGTAAGTCATCTAGTCCAACCCCCCGCCCAAGCGGAAGACCCTACACCATTTCTGACAAATGGCAGTCCAATTTCTTTTTGAAAGTATCAACTGATGGCGCTCCCACAACTTCCGAGGGCAAGCTGTTCCATTGGTTGATTGTTCTCACTGTCAGGTTGATTGTTCTCACTAAACCTAAATTAGATTTAGTGTAATGAATGTTTAAATGTAATGAAAAATAACTGAAACGAATACTGTCTGATTGTGAATTTGGCTCTTCTTGCATAACAACAACAA